AACTAATTTTTGTACTGCTTGTGTCACATAAATTAGGATTGGGATGATTTTAAAATTTTAATTTTGGTTATACATTATAAAATAGCCGAAAAATTGAATGATATAATTTTTTAAAAAATAACTGAATGAATCGTCCTATCGATAACCCTAATGTTACTTCTACTCTGTTTATTTTTACTTAAATTTATAAAGATATGCTTCATTTCTACCCTCAACCTTATCACTACATTTATTTGCTATTTAAAATTGAACCACAACAGTTATGATTAAGAATAAGATCTATTTAAAGAAGGATTACAAATTGAGAGACGGCAAAAAATCAATTTTCTGATTGATTAAATAAAAAGTGAAGAGAGAGAGAAAATCATAATTTTTTATGAGAAATAACTTATCAGTTCCAAAAAATCAGCATATTAATTCAAAAAGGAGAGAAAAAAAGGTATAATATATATCTCGATTTTTTTTTAAAAAAAATTATGTTTATAATTAAAAATCTTATTTTATAAATAAAATAAAATAAATACATATATTGTTAATTAAGGTCTTAAACAAAATATTTGATTTAAGGCTACAATTAATAATTTAGTGTTAAAGCTACCATTGATATTTTGATTTGATTGAATAAAAAATTATGAGTGAGAAAATCAGTATATGGGCAAAAAAAATAATATAAAACAGTATAATTATGATTGGAAAGCAAAAAATAAATAATAATTATCAATCCCATAAATTTAACACATAACCCCTAAAAAAAGGAAAAGATATACGTATACTAATCTATATATAAAAAAAAATAAAAAATTGAATATTCTGTTAGGTTAGTAATTAAAAACACAGTTTTGTAAATAAAAAGGAGTATATACATATATTGTTAATTAAAGTCTTAAATAGTATATTCTTATAATTTTTCCTTAAATAAATTATGACTATAGCATTTAATTTAAATTAATAGTTTACTATTTCATATAATTTTCCCTCAAATAATGTCATGTATTTGATCTCACTTACTATTACAAGTGTTGGAATTTGGATTATTGATGTTGCAAGGCCCAGTAATCAGAAACTCCGCTTGGTTGTCCAGATTATAAATCAACTATTTTTTTTTCTATCACTTAGATTCTTGTAATCATACACTTAATTAGAAAAAAATATTTGAATCTAACATAGAATCGTTGTATTTATTTTGTTTTTTTTTTACATTGATCCTTTCACTAAAAGATACATACACTAATAAAATAATTAGTACTTAAATAATTAAACCTTTTATAATTAATTCTTATATTATCAATACCTACGTAACTAATCTATTTATTATTAATATACGCATAAGTTTACCTTATTATACCATGATTATTCCTAATAGTATATAGTTCCCTTTTTAATTCCTATATAAAACAAAAATTCGAAAAAAAAGTGAATAATACTTGTAGCGATACTAATGTTCCTGATGAAGCCCCCAAATAAAACCAATATCTAATCGAACTAGGTCTCACATAGCTGAAAAAAAGTATAAATTATGCACATACTATTCTTCTAATCCAAATTCTTGTTTAATTATTATTGTCTTTTGAATTTTTTGGCTATGGCGAATTGGTCCGAACTTTCGTACGATCTACTTGTTATGATCGCAAAGCTTGTTACAGACTTACAGTGATGGATGATTTCGTTGTATTTGGTGCTGTTTGTAAATCATGGCGAACTGCTGCTAACAAAGAAAATTTTGATGTGTCATCGCCTCAAATTCCGTTACTTATGCTGGCATCTAATGATTATCGAGAATTTTACTCTCTTTTAATTTCACGAGTATTTCTCCCTGAAGCTAGAGAGCTAGTATGTTTTTCAACTCAAGGATGGCTTTGCACCCTGAAATATATTACATGTATCGTAAAGATAACATTGTTGCACCCTTTTTCACGTGCCCAAATCCATATTCCTTCACTACGTGAATATTACGATAAAGTGGTCATCCACAAAGTTGTTTTATCTGCTAACCCTTCCTTAAATAACTCCGATTATGTTCTAATGATTTCGTATTATATGATCACACCTGATGGAGTTTGGGTTATTGTTGTTACTAGGAATAATAATAAAAAACACCGCTTGGTTGTTAAGGTAAAAAGTCGCGATCTACCTTGGCCGTTTAAAACGCAATTTTATCTAGTCGAAGTATCAGGTGCATTATTACTTGTTATACAATATAAACTAGATGGATGTGATTCTGAACATGATACGACCACTGCATTTCATGTATGGGAACTAGATCTAATTAAAGGAGAAGCAAAAAGGATTAAATTATTGGGAGATAAAGCAATATTTTTGGGGTGTAATGCTTCAACTTCGATGGAACCTTCTAAGTTTATAGGCGTGATGCCAAATCACATCTATTATACTGATAATTTTAGAGAGTTCTTTCCCCTCGACGGACGGGGTATCAAACATATGTTGGCTTATAATCTTAAACAAAAAAAATTTCGACCTTTTTATCCTAGCATTAATTTGGTTACTACTTTTGTTAACCCGCCAACTTGGGTTATACCATCGTTCTAGCATATTTTAGATTAAATATGCTAATTTGGCTTTGGTTATTTGTTTTTGTTTTCTGCGATATGGCTTGTTTAGGGAGTATTTCTCTTACATGTAATCATGTTTTATAGTACATGTTTATTTTTAAATTTAAATCTTTTTTTAATCAATTTCAATTAATTATACTTTTCCTTCTTTAATTTAAAAATAATACTACTTTTTCCCCCCTCCCTAAACACCCCATTGTGTCTGGCATAGACATTTGAAAGTAGAGATGATGTTTGATTAACCTTTTCATGAAGTACTTTTGACTGTTAATATATGAGGGAGAAAAAATATTATTAAAGTTATTAACAATTGGTCCTATAGCTGAGAGTTATGAAGTCTTTAATTCAAATTTTGTTAAAGACATAAACACTAAATAAATTCTTTCACACAAATTGTCTTGGACACTATAATTATTGGTTATTTCTTTTAAAAAACCCTATTTTGATAAAAACACATCATCAAAATAAGTCATTTTTTTTTAAAGATTGACCAAACAATGCTTTTCTAATATAATTTTTTTTTAAAATTGAGAGGTACAATGCATAACTTGATATAATCGTGAGTTTGACCTTGAAAATTAAATATTATTTATTTTATTTATAATTTTTTAAGTTGAACTAGGTCTCCGAAGCTGAAAAAAAATATCTTAATTAATATTATAAATTATTCTCTTTTGCCTCTTTTAGCTATGGCGAATTGGTCCGAACTTTCATACGATCTACTTGTTACAATCGCGAAGCTTTTTACAGTGATAGAGGATTTCGTTATATTTGGTGCTGTTTGTAAATCATGGCGAACTGCTGGTTCCAAAGAAAATTTTGATGTGTCATCTTCCCAAATTCCGTTACTTATGCTGGCACCTGAGGACTTAAATGATGATTATCGAGATTTTTACTCTCTTACCAAGAAGAAAATTTCACGAGTATTTCTCCCCGAAGCTAGAGGGAAAGTATGTTTTTCAACTCAAGGATGACTTTGCACCGTAGAATATATTACAGGTATCGTAGAGATGAGATTGTTGCACCCTTTCTCACGTGCTCAAATCCAGCTTCCTCCAACACGTGAATATAACAATCATGTGGTTATCCACAAAGTTGTTTTATCTTCCAACCCTTCCTTAAACTCCGATTATGTTCTAATGATTTTGTATTATGGGAATGAGAATAGGCATTATTTAGCCTTTTGGCGACTTGGAGATCTCTTATGGAACAAAATTGATATTAAAGGATGTGGTAAAATTCTGAATATGCAATACTTAAAAGGACAATTTTATATGATCACACGTGATGGAGTTTGGGTTATTGATGTAGCTAGGCGTAATATTCAAGAACCCCGCTTGGTTATTAAGCTAAACAATTGTGGTCTACCTTTTATAAGTCAGTTCTATCTAGTCGAAGTATGAGGTGCACTATTACTTGTTACACAATATTCTACAAATGAGAAACTAGTTGGATATGATTATCGACATGATATGACCCATTTATTTTATGTATGGGAACTAGATCTAATCAAAGGAGAAGCAAAAGGAGTTAAATTATTGGGAGATAGAGCAATATTTTAGGGGTGTAATGATTCAGCTTCATTGGAACCTTCTAAGTTTATAGGTGTGAAGCCAAATCACATCTATTTTACTCATAGTTTTAGAGAGCTCTTTCCCTTGGGAGGACAGGGTATCTTTGCTTATAATCTTGAAGAAAGAAAAAATCAACCTTATTATACTAGCATTAAATTTGGTAGTACTTTTGTTAATCCGCCAACTTGGGTTATACCATCGTTATGATATTTTAGATTAAAAATGCTAGCTCTTGTTTTAATTTGACTTTGGCCATTTGTTTTTGTTTTCTGCAATATTGCTTGTTTAGGGAAATTATTTTGTTCTCTTACATTGTAATAGTGTTTTATACATGTTTATTTTTTATGTTTAATACTTTTTAATCAATTTTAATTATACTTTCCTTGAATGTGAAGTATTTGAAATAGTTATTCATATGTTGGCTAAATATCTAGATAATCCCTTAAGCTTGCGTGGTTGACAATATTTGTAAGTTATACATATTAACTTCAATACGACCTAGTTGTTACGATAGCAAAACATTTTGTAGGGATGGAGGATTTCGTAGTATTTGGTGTTGTTTGTATTTCATTGTGAAGTGCTGTTACTAAAGGAAGCTTTGATGTGTCATCGCCCTCAAATCCCGTTACTTATGTTGGCTGTTGATAAATAAAAGGAACAATAACTACGCTTGTTTAGTGTGTGCTCATTCAGATTCGATAGGTGATTTCTTCTCATCCGTCCAAGTCTTAAGGTGGAAAAAGTTATTGGCCACCAAATGTAGTCTAACTAGGTCTCGCGTATATGATACGTACTAGGAGTACTATTCTTCTTCTCCAAACTCTTGTCTAATTATTCCCTTTGGCCTTTTTTTGCTATGGCGAATTGGTCCGAACTTCCATACGATCTACTTGTTACGATCACGAAGCTCATTACAGAGATAGAGGATTTCGTTATATTTGGTGCTGTTTGTAAATCATGGCAAACTGCTACTACCAAAGAAAATTTTGATGCGTCATCTTCCCAAATTCCATTACTTATGTTGGCACCTAAGGACTTAGATGGTGATTATCGATATTTTTACTCTCTTACCAAGAAGAAATTTTCACGAGTATTTCTTCCCGAAGCTAGAGGGAAAGTACGTTTTTCAACTCAAGAATGGCTTTGCGTTTTAACATATAGGATAGCATTGTTGCACCCTTTCTCACGGGCCCAAATCCAGCTTCCTCCAATACGTGAAAATAACAATTATGTGGTGATTGACAAAGTTGTGTTATCTGCTAACCCTTCCTTAACATCCGATTATGTTGTGATGAGTTGGCATTATAATAAGCATGGACATTATTTGGCTTTTTGGCGACCTGGAGATCTCTTATGGAACAAAATTGATATTGAAGGATGTGTTGAATTCCAGATTATGCACTACTTAAAAGGACAATTTTATATGATCACACTTGATGGAGTTTGGGTTATTGATGTTGCTATGCCTAAGCATAGTAATCAAGAACCCCACTTGGTTGTTAAGTTAAATTTTAGTCCACATTTACCACCGTATAAAAATCAGTTATATCTAGTTGAAGTATCAGGTGCACTGTTACTTGTTGCACAATATTCTACGAACCATAAACTATATGGAACTGATTCAGGAGATATAACGTATTCATTTCAAGTATGGGAAGAAGATGTAATCAAGGGAGAAGCAAAATGGATTAAACACTTGGGAGATGGAGCATTATTTATGAGGTGTAATGCTTCAACTTCGATTGACCCTTCAAAGTTTGTACAATCATGTCAAGTACTCGACAATGTGAGAAGGAACTGTATCAATCAGTTTTGGCATATTCCATAATCCATTTTCAATGTAGTTTGAGACTTTGATACCCTTAGAGCTTTACCTTGGCCAATAAGGAAGCAGTTCTATCTAGTCGAAGTATCTAAGACCTATGCATTTCAAGTATGAAAACTATATCTTGTTATGCTAAGAAAGAAATAAAGACTTGTTTGTTTTATACATGTTTATTATAGCAGGTACCCCTGTTATTAGTCGAGATGTGTAAAAATTAGAAGAATTATGGTCCATAGAGGCTTGATTGAAGATGTACACTACTATTAAAATTGATTAAAAATGATTGAAATTTTCAAGAATAAACAAGATTACAATGAAAGAGAATAAATAAAGCATATATATCATGCTAAAAGTCATTTTTGTTATCAGAATGACGGTATAACCCAAGTTGGCGGGCAAATAGGACTAACGGAAATGCCATCATAAAAAGGTTGAATTTTTTCATCTTCAAGACTGTATACCCCCATATCTCTACCACCACCTCCTTCGAGTTGAAGATACATCTCTGTCCAACCATCAGTAAAATAGATGTGATTAGGCTTCACTCCTACGACTTGTTTAGAAGAGACATTACTAATGTTAATAGATGCATTACGCCCCAAAAAAATAGCTCTATCTCCCAATTCTTTAATCACCTTTGCTTCTCCTTTGATTACATCTATTTCCCACACTCGAAACATAGAGGCACTATACCCACCATTAGGTCCATTAGGTTCCTCGTAATCACAAATTTGTATAACAAATAATAATGCACCTGATACTTCAACTAGATGAAAGAAAGTCCCATACCGCCTAACTACTATATCATATACCTCCATGTTAATAACCAAGCGCGGTGTCCCAGGATTTCCAGGGTCCACAACAAAGATTATGCCAGGGTGAGCAGTGAAATACAATTGTCCATTAAAGTAGTGGATATCAGTGACCTCACCATATTTTTTGGAAGCAATTATAGTCCAACATAGGTCTCCAGGTCGCCAAAAAGCAAAATGATAGCTAAATTGTTCAAAATACGAAATCATGAGAACATAGTCGGATGTTAGGGAAGGATTAGAAGATAACACAGCTAAGTCGATGACTGCATCCTTATCTTGTGATGCTGGAGGAAGATGTATTTGGGTGCGCGAAAAAGGGTGCAATAAAGTCATATCTCCAATACCTGTATATTCCGTGGTGCAAAGCCATCCTTGTGTTGAAAGACACATTCGCCCTTTAGCTTCAGGGAGAAAGACTACGTGTAATTTTCTTCTCAGAAAGAGAGTAGAATTCTCGATAATCATCGTCTTTATCAGCAGCCAACATAAGCAACGGAACTTGGGGCCATGACACATCAAAATTTTCTTTGGTAGCAGCAGTTTGCCATGATTTACAAACCACACCAAATATAACGAAATCCTCCATCTTTGTAACAAGTTTCGCTATCGTAACAAGTAGATCGTACGGAAGTTCGGACCAATTCGCCATAGCAAAAAAGATAATAATGAATTTATTTTTGCCTGCATAAGTTTTATAGTTCCAGTTTGGACAATAATTTGGAAAAATAGTACTAATAAAATTGTACGTAGTAACGAATATATACTAACATGTTTTTTTCCATATATGAGACCCAATTCTATAAATATTAATTAGTTGTCATATAGCTTATTAAAGTATCAAATACAACATATCCAGTGAAATCCCACTAGGTGGGGTCTGGTATTAAAGTATCAAATATTTGGTCAAAATCTCAATGCCTATTATTGGTAATTTTAGAGATTTTACTTCTATAAAAATTATTGATTAATATATATTACCAAAAAAGGAAAATAGTTATTATAAAGGGTTCAATTTTGGAAAAACTAACATACATCAGTACAATATATACTAATTTTACCTTTACTTTCAAACAATTACATATATTATCACTTTTAATATTTTATACCATATATTTTAAAAGATACAATCAAATAAACACATCCTTTAAAACTAGGATTGATTAATTATCTTTACATTTAAACATCACAATTAATGGTCAATAATAATCCGCTCATCAACCCTCCACCAAAACTCCTATATGTCAACCGTATCTCTCCCCTCCCACGCCCAAATCCTCCATCACCTTCACCATAATCTCTCATCATTCATCCTTAATCTCCAATCTATGTTAATGATGTTTCATCGTCGGAAAATCCATCAAATTTACGGCCAAAAGCTAGATGCTGCTAGTGTTTGCTAATGGTTTCTTAGTTGTCAAAAGCTATTAGTTAGGATACATTATGTAAATCCTTTATTATTATTCATTCTGCTAATTCTTATTCATCAATCATCATAGTTAGATTACTTTTACCTAGTTGAGAAGTAAAGTGAATTCTTCTTAACATTATATGTAGAGATTTGTTACTATTTGCTTTATTATTTGTCTTGTTTCATTATTTGATAAGGGGAGAAGAAGAGCGCAGCGAAGAACAAAAGGTTTCCTGCTAGCTTCACTACAAGAAATCTTACATTTTGTGGTACCAAAAATTGCTACAAAACCCCACAAAGTCGACACTAATAACATTTAGTGGCGACATTAGGGTCATGACTAGTACTTTCATAACTAAATGTTACTATCTCTATCCACTTTTAATTGTCATGTTGCGCTTTTCACAAGTTAATTTGACTAATTTTCAAAGTTGAATTAGAATACATTAATTTGATATTTTAAACAAAAAAAAGATAGATATTCTATACGAAAAGGACTATAAATTGCAATTTTTTTGCATATCAATATGATGAAAAATACATAGTAAAATGTTGATCAAAGTTCATATCGTTTGACTTTAAAAAAGGAAACTATGACAATTAAAAGTTACAGAGGGAGTATTAGTGGCGACAATTAGTGTCGTCACAAGAAGTACGTATTTAGTGGCGACTTAGTTGCCTCTAAAAGTAGGCAAATATCTTTGGGGAAATGACTTTTAATAAAGGTGAGTTTTGTCGCCACTATAACTACAAAACATTCAGTGGCAAGTGTTGTCGCCACAATTACTGAGTATTAGTGACTAACTATGGTCGCCACAAATATCCTTTTTCTTTTGAAAAAAAAATACAACATTATTATTTCTAATAATACAGCACAAATGTTTTATAACAATCCAATTGACAATAAAGGATACACAACTAAAGATATTTTCCAAACAATGATACCAAAAACTTTCATAGCATAATAATTGTGCATACACATAAAAAACACAAACACAAACACAAAAATAATATGTTTTTCAGCTATAATAAATTTTGCCCGAAAGAATATGTCCCGTAAATCAATTAACACACTCCTTTACAGTGTTCTATAGAAAGGTACATCATCATCCTTCGTGCATACTTTGGATAGATCAATTACTGCCGTAATGTGATCTTGCAACTTTCATTCCTGAATGTGTTACTATGTTCATTTTCAGTTGTTGAAGATTGTCAGATTGATTGATGACTGCAAACCCAAAAGACAACATAGAAAGACACCTTCACATCTCAATATTTTCAATATTGATTAAAGAATAAAAAGAACTCCTTGATATCTAATTGTCTAGCACCCAGAATCTCTCACTTGCACTATTTTAACCTATCCCTATCATAATAAGCTAGTGAACAAACAAGAAAAATTAGTTCTTCCCTACTGATAAAAAAATCGGATCACAACATAATTCCAAACAGTAATAACTAGTCACATAATTACTCAAGTCCCCCAAAAGTTTCAATATAGCCACTAGCATTTCAGATATGGGGAACAAAAAATGTCAAGGAACAATGAAATACTAAAATTAGCATATACAATAAACAATTGAATCACGCTTCAGATTAGACAACAAAAGAACTCAAAGATATTTTTAGATGTATAAAATAACTATAAACACTTATTTTAGTACGAATAAAGGATACATATGTTGATTACTTCTTTACTAGAAAATTTTGATTTATACACAAAATTATATAATTAAAATATGAAATAAAGGATTTTGTGGCGACTTTAAGGATGCTATTACACCTTTAGTGGCGACAAATCGTTGCTGAAGACCTTTTGTAGCGATTTATTATAGGTCGCCATAACTACGTTTCTCATTGATATTTTATTAGAAAAATTATTTCATATTTGTGACGACTTATGGATTGTCGCCACAGAAAATGTCATATTTAGTGGCGACACTTAACTATCACCTTCTACAGCAACCATTTCAAGTCGCCCCTAAAGCTCCTATTTTTGTGGCACCTATATTTGTCGTCACTAAAAATCGTCACAAAAAATTACATTTCTTGTTGTGTTTGGTGGAGATTTTGTCGGAGACGATGATTTCATGATGACGAGGAAACGAGCAACGAAGATGGCGTTGGTCTCTAGCGAAGAGGAGAGAGATACGAAGGGTATTAGGTGTACTTGTATCTAACCAAATATGCCTTTGTGATTTGTTCTAAATTCATGCATCAGTACATTCTATATTTTGATACACATAATTAGATGTATATATATGCTTATCATGGTACATGTTTTGGATATAATGTTTGAAATTAACACTTGATACATCAAAGTAATACTAGATACATATAAATAGATATATGAAATTAATTAATATTAGATCATATAAATAGATAAATGAAATTAATAATATATCATATAAATAGATACATGAAACTAATACTAGATATCATATACTCATATATCTAAGTATTTAGTTTGTTGGTTACATCATCTTTTTGTAATAGATACATCAAATTAATGAATTTGTAGCAGGTTTGAATGAGATTTTGCGATTCTTTTGTGGCATCGTTTTCGTTTTGTTTTTCTTTATCCTAGTAACCATACTTGGCTAGCTTATCAGACATTTTGACATGCATATCTTTGTCAGCTTCATTATGCTGTGCCATCGGTTAGTACGGACGCTACACGTTAATAAATATGTCTGTTGAGTCAATGTCTAGATATTTGTGTGTGTGTGTGTTTTATACGAGGTATATATGTTAATATCAAGAATTAGTGATGTTTGATG